TGTGTGTGTGTGTGTGGGTGTGAGCGTGTGTGTGTGGGTGTGAGCGTGTGTGTGTGGGTGTGAGCGTGTGTGTGTGCGTGTATGTGCGTGTGTTTGCGAGTGAGCGTGTGTGTGAGAGTGAGCGTGTGTGTGCGTGTGTATGTGTGTGTGTGTGCGTGTATGTTCGTGCGTGCATGCGTGTGTGTTCGTGCGTGCATGCGTGTGTGTATGTGCGTGCATGCGTGTGTGTATGTGTGCGTGTATACGTGTGTGTGTACGTGTGTGTGTGTGTACATGTGTATGTGTCTACGTGTGTGTGTCCCTCTGCACACGATTTCCTCTACATTAAATACCCTCTCCATATATTTTATATAATAGATGTATATATTCATTATCTACCGTTCTGGCTCATTTGCAGCGACCATTTAAACCATGCCCTTGCTCTTTCTGCTCATCATTCACCGTACAAGTTATATCTATATAATCTTCCACCAACGCTATGTATATAAATCGATTCCTCGGCACTAATGTTTCACCTCCATGAATAAACATTACGTCCCTGTACGACACGGATTTAGTCGGGGTCCATATACCTCCATTTTTGCACAAAATTAACAAAATGATGACCGCTAGTGCGTTTTCAACTCGTTTCGAAATAGATCAACGAGCACACATCATTTGATGGGCTATTTTTGCATATAGCGATGAAACTACCGTGCCTGCATGTCGCCACTGGCGTCGTCTTTAGTACCAGCACAAACTTCTGCCTAGACAGCAATAGCACCTACAAGCCCCAGTCCTCTTCCTCTTGAATTTCTACCATCCTTGGCTTTGTCTGTGACAGGCTTCATGAGACCACAATCGTTGAGGAAGCATGTACCATGAATACCTACCATTAGTCGGGCCACCACCGCCGATAGCTATAGACACCCGGCTAAATATTGAGAATATGCAAAATCATCACGATAACCGACCCACTCGCCGCATTCCACAACCGCCTGGCTAGAAACAGTCCTGGGTTGAGGATTCCCGTGATTATTTTCGCTGCTCATTTAGCCCGAATGGGTGTCGCTCCTTCTCTGGCTGGTGTTCCGGACTGAGATTGTTGCTGTTGCTGCTGCCGTTGTTGTTGACTGTTTGCGTTACTGACAACGATCAGTCGACTACCCTCAGGGAGAGATCGATCACCAGACAATGGAATGAGGCACGTCGAGCCCTCTCCTACACCGGGGCCGCCCACACCGCGCTGTCTAGCCGTGTATTTCTCGTACTCGGCTCGGAACTTACTGGTGGGATATTGCTCTTCGTGGAGCTTGAGGATAATCTGGAAGTATAGAACGTCATATTTCAACTCAGTTATCTAACTAGCTCGTTTGATGGTCGTTACTCTAGTACTGAGCGATATTGGCGCATAAATATGTTGTCAATGATACAAATCGCTCCCTGACTTTTCATGTATTTCTCTAATTAATGTACATGTTTTTCATTATTGAAACTGAAAGTCTTTAAAAACAGTCTGCTAGCATCGCACGACGATTCTCAATAAGCAGCTTATTATAGTAGCAAACCATAACATTAGCTTACAAAACCTTCCGGTGAGACGTCGAGAACAAATGCAGAATATAACAATTACAGAAAGGGGACTGAAGCCTGTGCTAGGTATAAAAAATTGGCGGTACTTTGAACGATTTCTGGCTTTAAGTTATTAAGTTGCAGGCTTGTAAATCTAAATATCATGTATCGCTTTAAACAAGTCATAATTGAGCTAATTTGAGCAAAAGAAAAAGAACTGTGTTTCGACTATTCAAATTGCAACTTATGTAAAATAAAAAGGTTACATTGGAAATAAGGAATTACTTACGTTGGAGATTTCGATCCTACGATTTTTCATTACAGTGACGGGATCGAACAGGTCTTTAAAGTTTTGTAAGCTGCTAGCCTGTTCTACTGTCAGTGGATTATGTAAAAACTTCTTTGCATATTCTAAAACAAATATACCACAGTCGTGGAAGTTTGTCTGTTGTGGGCATACTGGATAATAACCGCGCATCGTTCCATAGTCAAATAGACACTCAATTTTTTTCTTGTCAAGAAATTCTTCTGTTAAATAGTCCCTGCAATAAACAAAAAAGAAAAAGCCAAAAACACATTATCTATCTCATGAATGCTCGTACGCCATGTATGTAAGTACCACGGCGTTTTCATTGATATTATAATATTTTAAATAAAAAAATAGACTTATTTACAACCATGTCAGTTGCAGTTGGAGCGTTGTATTGATCTCGCGTTAATACCAAACTACAAGCTACACACACGGCATCTGCTCTTTCGGATCTTCGCTGCCCATAATAATAGTAATCACCTCGAGCAGTGAGCTTGAAGTTAATTAACATTTCAACACGTTCTGTCACAGACAAGTCGTCAAGTTCTCGAGATCAACATTATAAACATAATACTGTAAATAAGCTCAATGCCTCCCAACCAATCTATCCTTAGAAATTCTCTCCTTACTCCTTATGTCTTGCGGTGCACACAAAAATTATTGAGTTTCGGCTAACATTAACCACTGCCTCCATAATTTATCTATTGGGTAGGAGGCCTTGCATATTCAAAACTCGGCCTCTTTTGGCAAGCAATTTCTCGTTGTCATTCTCTGTCTTATTTTATCCCTATAACTCAAATTAGAACACAGCCCTTACCGAACAGTTTGATAGACTTTGGAGCACGAGACGCTTCCCCGAAGCGAATCGAATATGTATATTGCCGCTTTTGCTGGTGTCGTTGCCGCTAATTTGTTATCTACCACTGCAGCGTTAGCCATGGCAATTTCCTGATTATTAGCGGCCGCAGCCCCCGTTACTCCTTTAGTATCGCCACCGGGTCCAAGCGTACTATTTGGGACTTCTTCTTCTTTCGCTTGAGTGCCGTCACCTGCATCTTCGCCATCCTCCGAGTCCTCATACGCAACCAGCCCCTTCGTCGTGCCCACAACTGCCCCAGCTATGACATCATCCTCCATGGGACTGCTCTCTTTCTTCACCTCATCGGGCTCTACCTTAGCCGGAGAACTCAAGTCAATGCCGCGAGCTTTGGCCACCAGCCATGGATAGCAGACGATCACAAGAAACCAGTGCGAGTTCTGACAGATCGGAATGACGATAAAATCTTTACTGAACAAATCTACGCCTTTCGTCCAACGTTTGACGTTGCCGTGCCGCCGTTTCGTCAATGGAAGCTTTCGTTCCTCCGGCGTAAGGTTCTTCGCTTGCGATTTGTTTAGTGTCGAGTAGAAGAACGTATTGAACACAAATACTCTCTCTGACAGATCTTTAGGAAGTTCGGCGTTCTTCAAGTAACTCATATAAAAATCAATGACCGTATCATTGAGGAACGTATCAGAGTCAAGCGTCAGAAGATCGGACGACTTGATGATCATCGAACCTTTTGTCCCTTCGGGTGGATAACGGCAGAGGTCGACGCAGGGATCTAGCGACTCGCGGACATCACCGTCTTGACTCAAAACGCCGTTTCGAACTGGCGTTGTTGCCGTAACCATAGAATTGTTACGAGTGTTTACCACGGTTACAGGCCGGTTTGATGCATTGACAATGGTGACGTTCGTGTCAGAAATAAACGATTTAGGGGCATCGCTATTTCTCATCGGCGTAACCACTGCGACCGGTGGCCGGCTAATGTCAGGCTTTTTGATCGAGTTAAACCCAGCCGCCAGCATCGCGCCATCGCCTTTTGGTTTGGGATCGCCCGCTGAAATATAACAGCATAGTAGCAAAACATCAGCACAAAATACACTCAGACCTTTTACATTTTTAGCTATAGACCTATAAAATAAAAAAAAAAAAACAGCTTGTTCTACTGTCATAACGTATTTGAAATTATTAGTAAGCTGATCCATTGCTAAAGATTCACAAACAACATTAATTGCTTTAGTATTGGAATCGCATAGGTACATACCGGTTGATGGTACCGGGGTCTCGTATTCCAGGCAGTCCGGCTTTGTCATGCTCAACAGTTTTTCAGCAAACTCTTTTTTGAGACAATCTTTTGGGCTTTGATAACAACTTCGGATACGCTCGCTATCTAGATCGCGGAGTTTCTGTAAAAAAAAACAATTAGAAATAACGCAAATACTACACAACAAGCGCAACCTGAATTTAGCTTCCATCTGAATTGATTTAGCTCAAAGCAACAACGAGGACATGATAGTTAGGCTAAAAATTAGCTAAAAAAACTAAGGCAAGTTAATTGCTCGCTTTTGCAACACCGCATAAAAATAAACCGTGGTGCTTTAACTGTTGGTAAAGGCTGCGCTGATTGGTCCACTACGATACATATTACTACAAAGACTTTTTGATCAACAAGCAAATCAAAAAGCTAACAACTATCGTATCATCGCATAATATCGGGTAAAATAGATTCACAAATCAATTGTTAACCGTCATTCTAGCGCCCTACGCCATTTGGACATATTAAAGGCGCCGAAAAGATGATCTACTTAGTATATTATATTTAAATTTTCGAATAAATAATCGCAAAAAGGGTGTTATTCCGAATCCTCAAACATGAAACTAACGAATAATAAGTAAATAGATTGCTGCTTAAAAGGCTTTGTATATATTGAGGTCACCACACACTCACCTGTTCCAAAATTATTATAACTCTCTTTCGCTTTTCTGAGGTGGCGCTAGGATCAAAGAATGGTGCCAGTGCATCGTTGCTCATCTTCGTGCGACTATCATCCTTCATGCGCAACTGGCCTCGAATACGCGCTCCGGCATTAGGCGAAAAATTAAAAAGAGCTGCTGGCGTATCATAGTCCAGCGCCCACACGACCTTTATGATCTCGCCATTGCCGAATTCTAGCTCCACCTATGATACCATTTGAACGAAGGTAAAAATGAACGAAAAGGATGGGGTTGCTTATTTATCAACATTAAGGCAGCGATTACACAAAGCCGTTACTTTAATCAAATATGAGAAATAAGAAAATATAGTTTCTCTTAAAGAGCACAGGTGATTGACAACGGCCGATCTGATATCCTAGTGAATAACTGTAGCGGTGCTCACCTCCTCGAACTTCGAGTCAACTGGTCGCACTTTTAGCTTTAAGTGATTACTGCTAAAGGTGACAACGCGATCTTTGAGAAGGAATGACCCGATCCGGACTTCCTTCGCTTTTACAGAGAAAACGCCCTTATCGATCTCACTTGGTTCCCTGACGATAGTTACTAAAACCGAGCACAAGGACAAGCGTTAATACAACTTCATATGAACAATAATGGGGTATATGTAGATATGTGTATATCCCCATCAAAGAGTCACCCGCAAAAAAGCTGCATACAGCTTTTATGATTTTTGTAATAATTCAAGTAAAACGTTTCTCTTTTCTAAAATTCTTATTTCTATATAGTTTACATAACACCAAAGGCAGGTCTAAACATTGCCGCTACATCAAGTTTTAGCCGTTTTATATTTGTTTGTTTACCTGTGTTTGCCGACAGAGAGAGAAGTTTTAGAACATTTTATGTTATGAACACCCCAACGACAAGATCTTCTCACGCTAAACGTATTAACTTGGACCAGATCATAGTAATTATACAATATATTTCGCTTTAAAAAAGGCTGAGTTTTAGGTCTGTTAGAGAAAACCCAGATAAGTCCAGTGGAATTCACCTCGGCTAGACCTTCTAGTGAGTGCAAATCCTTAACGCTAAATCAAAAGGTAATTTCGAATAATTTTATATTCGCAGAGTAAAGGTAGCCGAACGCGTTAGAAGACGATTTTTTTTAGCACTTCAGTGAAATGGGCTCCCTTGATGTTATGCGTTTCATCCAAATACTGGCGATTTCTTTCATATACATCTATCCCTAAAATAGCGGCGCCAATACTAGAAGTTTGTTCACCGTCCGTGGATTAAAAGAAGTCAAGTGGAAATATGTTATAATGTCTGAAGAGCCATTAGATGTCACTCCGCCAAAAGATCGGCCGCTAAACCAAGTGATTCTTTAATTATGCGAGTGTTGAACTATCTTGCTGAAACCACATGTTCTGCAAACATGTCGACGATTTTGGCTACAGGGAAGCGTCACGTCGTCTTCAAACAAAGAGTTTTGTCAATAAACACAGTCAATAATGCCTTCGGCTCACATGCCGCACTAGACAATAAATTCTTTAAGATGTAAATTTCTTTCGTGAATAGCCCGGGGATTCTCAGTTTACAACAATTCACCGACAGTTGACAAAATATCTGTGGCGTCATTTAAAAAATAGGGTCAGATTTATGCGAAAAAAAACCTGGGTGAAGCGAATAGATTTATATGAGGAACGCCAAGTGAATTCCCCTTATTTGTGTTGTATTTAAATAAAATCCTAAATGTGTAAAATTTATGATAAAAGGCTTACATAATGCAGTTTTTTTATTGGCGTCATTTTGCAGTTGCTCCCAACCAGATGTCGGTACTTGTGTAATACAACAATAGTAGCACATATTAATGTAATCCACATTACGAGATGAACTTAAGTTAGACATTTCGACAATAATACTTCTTAAAATTGGCTATAAGTATATTTAAAAATGAATGCCGCTTGTGTTCGAGTACAAATATTCTACGAATGAAACTAATGTTCGCAAAAAATCCACAAACCCGGACAGAAGTGATCGGCGAGATCCGACTTCGAGTTATCGTGGTGGCCAGTCGAGCCTGATCCATCTTGTAGACCTCCATGATGAGGATAGAGATGCATCTTTTTCGCTGGGCTACCCCCATCTTCGTCCTCGATCATCACAACGGAGTCTCCACTACCAATCCCAGATTGCGCTGCACTCCTACGACCCTTGTTCTGTCCACAACAAAGAAAACGAACACACGATCATTGATATTATAAGTTCAAACTATCGACACATATATCAGTTGGGCATGAAAGTTTCATAACCCAGTTCTAAAGTATCAGAGAATTCTTTTAGAATATAGAAAAAACTGGTTACGTCAATAAGACTTCCTTGACATTCTCCTTTTGAAGTTCCTACTGCCTGTTAAGGCAATTTTTCTATGCTATTAGAAGTAATATACGGAATTCAAATTTTTTTGAATCCCTAGATTTGATAATTTTAACCTGATGCTTTGCACACTAGCATCCGTTATGACTGCTTAGTGTCCACCATCGGATACTGATTGCAAAACGGCTTTGGCATACTCGGACAAATCGTGATTATTCTCGTCGGTGGAGTGATAAACGTAATATTCTATATTATACCATACATAACTTCACGAGACGCGTTAAAGGTAAGGTCTTAGGATTCATAGGGTTATTTCGGACATATTAGTGATTGCGCTACACATAATATTTTTAAAACGGCGACGAACGTCCTCAGTAAACAGTGGCGTAACCCGCTAGCAGGTAAAATTTGTTACGAGTTGTTCAGGGCAATCCCATGGCTCTGTTCAGAAGCGAGACTTTTGTTCGGGTCAGCCGATCGACCATAATGCTCACCTCATACCGCATATCTGATATCTCTCATTCAATAGTTCCGAGATAGTAGAATGTAACCTGGTCAGAGCCTGAGTTTGTCATACATGAAGGCAACTGCTTCCGTCGACAATTAACTCGTCTGCATAGAGGACGACCTTCACCTTTTGAACCCTGTACTGTCCACCTGGCGTATTCAGACATAGGCACTCGGGTATCTAAGTCATTTCCAAGAAGGAAAACCCCTGACACAGCAACTGACGTTCGTCCTCTGTCTGTTCATTTAACGCTGCGCTGAGCAATGACATTCTTTAAGGTACGGAGGCACCATTTGTATAGTTGGCGCTCGGTCTCTCCAATGTGAATAGCTGGGTTCTTCTTACACTAGCATACACCTTCGATTGATTACTTTGAACGCTGCCATCAGGAGCTCCGCTGCAGGTTGTATGTTGCTAGTAGTTTAAAAACATCTTGGACATGGCGAGTCAGGCGATAATCGTAATAAAACCGAAGTCGCTGTCTCCCTAACTGGGATGAGCAAACCAGCCGTCATGTCAACGAGACGACGCGCATAAACTTATTATGATATTAAACGACGCTGACAAAACGTCATGAGCCCTTCCAGGACCCGCTTCGTTTCTAATTTACGCTGTAAAGGTTTCTCTCTTAGCAAGCTAATCGTAAGGAGACTTTGAGGAATCTAACAGGAATTCATGCATGAAGCTGTTCTTTCACACAAAGAGACTGATTCGTTCCGACTTCCTTGATTTTATTCACCGCTGTAAATACATCTGTTACGAAGCGTTTTGAAATTCCAGGTACTAATGGTACAAACGAATTTGGAAGTTCGTAAAATCCTGAAGTCTACTCTATAGCAATAAATCCCAAAGCTTCGATTCAGATAACGAGCGGTCTCCGTTCGAGGGTCTTAAAGGCAACAGCTCATCGATGAGTACCTTACCAAATTTCGACATTTTTTTGGACTATTTCAGCTCGGGTCGGAAGCCTTCACTGTCGAACCTCGTTGTAGTGAATCACCAGCGCTACACGTATCCATGCAATTCATTTGCACCCTTTACTTGGAAATCTTTTTTTTTTTCTAGGAAATATTGGATTTGCTTTGCGATGTTCTATGCAATATTTTTAACTATATCACCCAGATAACACGACTTCATATTTTGCGACTTATAGAGTACAATATCGAAAAGCACACTCTCCAGAGTTGCCCCTTTGGCAAGTATCTCTTCTAAGGGGAGGCAGTCCGATATAAAAAGAGGCTGACAGAGACAGAAAGAGATAGGATATGCAGCGCGGGTACTCTCAAATTTTATACATTTATAGGCCTGCATGTAGGAAGACGGCTCTTAGGACATTTGAAATTTCGAGGAGCTTTTCTATTTCGGTCGCTACACTATTTTTTAATCAATTTTTGCAGCTGCGCGAACCGCAGTGGGTGCTTTAACTGCATGAGCTCCTCTAACGCTGCTCGATATTACCACCGCCCACAACCTACATGGTCTTTGCCGATGGATGCACTTAACGGGTGATTTCCTGACATTTTCATCTTTCTAGTCGTAGTTGACGAGCGTCGACTTGCCTTTGAGGATTTTCAATTCTTTTTCTAATGCAGTATCGCGCTGCAATAGTACTGTAATGCAGGCCGCGATTTTGCTTTTTAGTTACGTGCTGTCCGCACATTTCATTGCTCGGATGACCAACTTGCTACAGGCAACCTATATAGACAACGCGACTAGTTCCTCAGTGGCACAGTCCATCTCATCAGCTGGTTCACATCATGCAGCATAAAACACTGTATTGCATCCAGTACAGCACAGGCTAAAAAAGCCTCTATGCTTCCGAGTTTTAGGCCTGACATTGCCGTTAAACGTTCCATCAGACGGCTGGTTCCCTACACGAAACGGGGTTATAAGGAGCTACACTCTTTTATCAAATCGCACAGACGGAAGATGACTCGATCTTTTTGACTAACGGTTCTCTGACGTCAAAGATTATTGCGCTCGTCTTCGTTCGCGTTCGATTCAAGGGCTCAGAGTCACTCTGTTGTTCAGTGCCGCTGTTCCAATAGACATGTTTCGTAGATTTCACTGTAGTAACCCAGTCGCACGACGCGACATGTCGAATGCACCTGCAGATTGGTCCTTTGTCATAATATTATGTTTCTTTTATGTCTAGATCGCTGTTTATCCAAGGTTGACACTACAAATGTCAATGATAAGCACACAATGAGTTACCCTTACATCGAGATCCGTAATGGTTCTATACAATAGTGTTTGTTCTCGAGCGCTGCGTGTTGAATAGACAAAAACAAAATTTATTTTAACAAGAATGAATGTGGGTTAGATCGGGTATATGAAAAACCATGAAAGAGTATGAACATACGACTTGTCAACGTTTAACCTCCTAAGTTTCATATTTCTAGGGATACGCAAGTGCCTTGACACAGTCCACAGCACTTCTCAGATAAATACACGGTCACTGAAAACCATAGTCACCACCTTTTAGCATGCACGCAACAGAAATTTACATCACACTTCATAATCCTCACCTTAGCTACTTAGAAATTCGACCATCATAATTGACCCCGGCGTACGACAAATCGATCAATAAAGCAAACAACTTGGTGCATTATGTATTGCCATAGTTGGCTTAATTTCAGAATTAAAACTGAATACATAAAAACTAGCCTTCATTATTGACTTCAACCAGAGTGAATATTACGCTGTTTCTAACCCGCCCGTAAGCATTTGTTAGGTTTTACTTATCAAGCGAGGCAAATGTTTCATACAGATCAATCGCAGACTATTAAATTATTTCAGCAAAATGGCCGCCCATTGTGTGCATATGACGAAACGCTAAGTCACAGCCGCGTTCAACCATACGATACCTGAATATTTGATGTCCACATAGAATCATGCGATTTTTGCTAGAAATAGAAAAAATTCGCTATTCTTAACGTCGGATTTCGAATCGGCGATTAGCAGATTGGGTAGATGGTTGTTTTTGTTGTGGTTGTTGAGGCTATCAATCGAATTCCATTGTCAATTCGGTTATCGGCGATTACTCTTACTCACTGTATGCAATATGGCAAGGTCGGCGGGTTTTCGAATCATCGGTGACTTATCCATATTTTCTCCAAAATTCGGTTTCAACGCCATAAAGCTATCTATACGAATTAGCTGCAAACATCTGATGGGTCCAGCGCCGGAACACTTGCCGGGGCGGTGTCACGTTTCTTAACGTGCTGCCTTATTTCGAAGAAGGATAACAAGCACAACAACGCATCGTATTTTCGACGATCACACACATGTATAACAATTACTACGGTGCTCACACCCACTCACAGTCATACGAGATACTCTGAAGGAACCCGAAGGTAGACAAATACAGATATCACTTTGGTCAAACGTTAACGAGCGATGACGCAGCCTTTAGCCCTCAGCTAGAAATCATTTCAATAGCGGTGTCTATACCGGCATGGTGTTGTCGTCGACGTTGTCCGTGTTGAATAGCACGTTGGCTGCCTTCTGAAGAATCCCCCAACCCGCCGCGGTCGAACTGCGCTTCACTGCCGATCTGCTCATTGGACAGCGGCGCGAGGTAGCAAAACGCATCAGATCAATAATCCGATTTCACCGTAAGATGAGAACCGTCAGGTCAGGAAGAACACCAGCCCGCTTCTTTCGGCCCAACGACAATACTGCTCAACGCCTGTTGCTACTATAATCAATAAAAATTCTTCAGCCCGTAATAAAAACTACACACTGTGACAATAGCGTAGCTAAGCAAGGTAAGTACGGCCACTTAATACTCGGGCAAATTCTGGGAAGAAAATGGTGGCCACGGCGCTCCCTCTGCGCGAACCAAAACAAATATGGCCGAAGGCGCGAACTTTCGAATTCAATTTCACAGATGTTCAGTAATACCGATGTTTCAATATACGCACAATCTAAATAAGTTGATTAGTTTTCTGTTGTACCTTTAGTTGACGTTGTTGCGAGCAATCTAACCCAAACCCATGTAAACACACCCTCATCATGTAGGGTACGCAGTTGGAAAAAAATTAAGCAGACGTTTGGTAGTCTTGTCTAAATGTTTTTCTTGATTTGTTATGTAACATATGTTAATTGGTCAGTCAATATACAGCATATATTCCTTCGTCTCATGGAGTTAGAAACCCACTGACAGTCAACGAGTAACACAATAAAGAACAGCAGTTCCTAATAAAAGATAAACAACTTTGAAGTTGGTTTCTATGTGAGGGTGTGACCATAAAAATTAGCCGAACCGAGTTAGATTTAATATACTAGGCCTACAGTGAATCTGACGAGCAAACTGATTTTTTTTTTTAAATTTGCTAAATATTTCTAGTTTTCAAGTAAAAAAGACAAAAACGCTCTCCGAAATATTACATATACCGCCTCTTGATGTTCTTAAAAAAGACAAATACACACACATAACACATCGAGTATTTTAACGCTATTGGCTCAAGAGGCAAATCCAAAATATTCTATAATTTCGCAGTTCGTAATTTACCTCGACGGTTTCAACGAGAGAGGACTTAACTGTAAATAACTATGGAAAATGTCATCGTGATCAATTTAAGTAACCATCGCCTCCTGTTTTATTTAAAATCCGAAATACCTACATTGTTCACATCATCCAACACATTAGACCGAATTTAATTATAGAACACTAAAGCAAGTAATTAGCAAGCATACATCATTATCCCATATACGCTTGTGTTTACCTTGACTCGTTAACTATTTTGAAGTTTCTTCATATTTAATTCTCGCTTTTTGTCGCTCAGGAAATATTTTTCCTGTAGTTCTTTACTCTCTCAGTACTAGTCAACCGGGTCCGTGGTGTTTAATTGGCTAAGCTAACTTCTGAACTCTTTAAAGTATTGAACATTAGTAGGGTCCCAGATGTACGTAACAAGGTCTTTTACTATTATCTGCAACGATGCCTGTGGAGTCTTATAAATTCAGATAAACAAAACTCCACTTGTACATCATCACTTTAAAAGAGAAACTCTTTACCAAAATGGCTTATGTAGAAGTTTTTAATGAATGCTTTCGAAGCTTACCTTTGCAGGTGCGCGTGGCTTTTTTGCCTTTGTAACCTTCATTGTTGGAGTCCGAATTTGAGGCGTCTGAGAAGGACTAGCCAATGGGTACTGCGCCGGGGTTACACTAAAAGGTTAATTGATTTGAATAATCATGTTAATCATTGTACCAGCCACCTTTAGCACCTCGATGCCGCTACGTAACTACGACAGTGAGAAATCGTGGCATGCGTTTTTCGTCAAGCATACCCAACTCACCTATGGGGTCGCGGTACGCAGTTGTTGTTATTGTTGTTATTTGAATAAAACGTCTGTTGACTGTTGTTCTGTTGAGGTTGATGCGGGGGCAATAGCTGAACGGGCGAGCCGCTCGGAGCTAGTACAACACGAACAACGGACCTGGGTGAATGGAACACAGGCCTTGGCTGCTGCTGATGCAACAATTGCGGATGCTGTAACAACTGTTGAGGCTGCTGAGGTTGGCTTTGCTGTTGCTGCTGCTGCTGTTGTTGTTGTTGTTGCAACACTTGCGGTTGTTGTTGCTGCTGATGAACAACGTGTTGCTGAAGGCCCTGTTGTTGTACTATTTGAGATTGTTGCTGTTGAGGCACTTGAATCGTTTGCTGCAGAGTCTGCTGCTGCTGGCTTTGCTGCTGCTGCTGCTGCTGCTGCTGAGACGAGTAGAAATCGTGCACCTGCAACCCTTGCTGCTGCGTCGTGTGGGTAATCTGCTGTTGTTGTTGATGTATAAGCTGTTGTTGTTGCTGTGATTGTTGAGAATTATGAGGTGATTGCTGCTGTGACAGCTGAGGCGCGTAGAGGAACTTGTAAACCTGTGGATGCTGCTGCTGCGGCTGGCTTGCTACGCCCTGCTGTACGACAGGTACGACCTGGCCGAACTGGTCGGTCACCACATATTGCAACTCCTGCGGTTGAGGTTGTTGTATTACGGGTTGAAGGACCTGTTGGGTAGCCTGCACCAGCTGATGCTGCTGGATTCCTTGCGGCTGCGTAGTCAGTATCTTCGCTCGAACCTGCCGATGCGGTGAGGTTTGCTGTTGCTGTTGATTCTGCTGCGGTCGAATAGCTGGTGACGACAGCTGCCCTTGTGGACTATGGCTAGTGGAACTGATACTGTTTGGTGACCAAACTTGGGGACTTTGAGCACTGCTTGCTGTGCCGCGTTGGGCTACCTGAACATCAACTGCGACCTGCTGCTGCTGCTGTTGTTGTGAGTCTTGCGGCTGGCCTTGCTGAAGGAAGGTAACCTGGTGGGTTTGTTGTATTCCTCCTGTTCCTGGTTGAACTTGTTGCTGTTGTGCTTGGACGACGGCTGCTCCTTGATGATAATAATGGTCGTTGCTCACCTGCCCAGCGCCGATTACCGCCGACGAATCGGTCAAGCGAGCCTGCTGACCTTGATTCGCCTGATATTGAGATTGTTGCGGCGGCGGCGGCTGCTGCTGCGGCTGCGGCTGCTGGTAAAGCGTTTGCAAAGATTGCTGATATTGTGTTCGTTGTTGCTGCTGCTGCTGCTGTTGTTGTTGTTGAACGTAGTGCAGTTGCTGCTGCTGATTCGGATCCTGTTGCTGGATGTACTGTACGGTTTGTTGCTGTTGTTGTGGTTGTCGCACAACGTGGAGCTGCGTAACCGTCTGCTGCTGTGGTCGCTGGTATACAATTTGCTGTTGTTGCGAGGCCTGGTGTTGCTGGTGCAATTGTCTCTGGTACTGGACGGCGGATTGCACCTGCACTTGCTGTGGCTGGCCCTGCTGTTGTTGCTGGGAGTCGTGCGGCGCCGCCTGTTGTAGCTCATGCGAATTGAACGTCCGCACGACAACACGTTGTGGAGACGTAGGCTGACTGGCAGACGATTGTAAATGTTGTAGCTGCGTTTGCTGTACGAATTGCTGCTGCTGCTGCTGCTGCTGCTGCTGTGGTTGCTGCTGCTGCTGCTGTTGTTGTTGACCAGCAGACGGATCCGTTGTACAGACAATCTGTTGCTGTTGGGATATTAATTGTCGTTGTTGCGGATCTTGCTGCTGTTGATCCTGTCGAATTAAATGAATCTGCTGGACTTGCTGCCCTTGAAAGGCTGGTCGTGGAGCGCTCTGCCGAAGAATTCGTGGCCTCGGTGGCTGTCCTAACCGTAGATGTTGTTGTAATTGCTGCTGCACTTGTTGAGAACGTAACGTTTGCTGTAGCTGAGGGCACACAACGTGCCCTTGAGGAACCTGAACCTGCACACGCGTCGCGGGCAATCGTGTTGCTGCTGGCGCTGGTTGACCGTTCACACGTGGACCATTTGCACGGTTTCGTGACTGAATAGAATGCGCGCGAATCTGCTGATGCACCTGCGGAACGGTTAACTATGAGTAAAATCCAATAGTGCTTTGGGTATTGAGATTTCCCACGTGATAGCTTAGTAGGTAACGTATTTGCTTGCTACTCTTGGGGATACGTTGTGGTTTAGGTTCGAACCCGGGCATGGATACACCTGGTTTCGTGCTGGCGGGAGCCAGCTGTCTGATGAAATACCTAATGGCGATACCGGACGTAAAACCCGGAAACACAGAGGGTAATGAAATGTACTTTTAACTCAAACAAGCAAGCCAATAAGATAGCATGCTAGTTGTAAAAATAGGTAAATAAAAATAAATTTTCAGTACAAATCCTAAGTCAGTGGAGATTAACTAACCATACTATTTCGTTGTACTACTATTTTGCCATATACTATCTTCTATAGGATAAAAGTGCGACTTTAACTGCATAGCTCAAAATTGATTTGCCTGAGGATCGTGAATCACACGCGGCTGTCCAACGGCTCGCTGTTGTTGGGTTCCCCACGACGACGTAGATCCGGTGGCAACATTAATAGCCCCATTGGTTCTTACTACTACCCGTTGATTAGGTTGAGGGGAACCCCCTGCTAAAACCAGTTTCTGGTTTGGATCAGGTCCAGGCGACGGGTTCTGCTGTTGATTATGTTGACCTTGTTGCTGCTGTTGAGGGGCTTGTTGTTGGACATACTGAGTATACTGTTGTTGTTGCTGTTGTTGTTGTTGTTGCAGATGGGGATGAATAATTTGCTGTTGCTGCTGTGCTTGCGATGAAAGGTTTTGTTGCAGTTGTTGTGGTTGCGGTTGTCGGACCTGCGCGACGACGTGGCTCGCCAACGCTGCAGATTGCGGATGCACTTGCTGCTGTGGGAGCACCTGCTGCGGCTGCTGCTGTAGATGCTGTGTCACCTGCTGCTGCTGCTGCTGTTGTTGTTGTTGTTGTTGTTGTTGATGGAGCTGTTGTTGCTGTTGCTGCTGTGCGGCAGCCGCCGCAGCTGCATGCTGCTGTTGATGAATATGATGGTTGAGCTGTTGTTCCACTTGCAGCTGAACCTGTTGTTGTGGGCTGAGATGATGCAATTGCTGTTGTTGCAGTTGCAGATTAGGGGCTGTCGCGTTGTAACTGTGCTGGCTGAGCGCGCACGAAGCGCAAATTGTCGTGGCCGGTTGACCGGGCTGCTGTTGCTGCTGCTGCTCGCTGGAAGGCAGAGGCTGCTGACAGCAGGCACACACGCCGCCCGGCATCGCCCCCCGGACCCCACACGGCCACACCAGCAAGCCCAATCAGGCAGCACCACAACCTATGATACAGCTGGCTCTGAGCAACCAACACGGAGCCACCTACCTGTCTCAGCTGCCCTACGGAGCGCCGCGGAGCCGCCAGCGGCAGGGTCTATTGCTCCTATGAACAAGACAGCAAACAACAAATACAATGTTTAGGCATAAAGCGACTACTAGTATATATATATATATATATATATATATATATATATATATATATATATATATATAGAGAGAGAGAGAGAGAGAGAGAGAGAGAGTAAAACAAAATTAGTTTTACATTATAAAAGTATCTGTACTCTTGCAGACTTGCATGATCTCAAAAATAATACGATTAATTTGAACTGTTTTCTGTAAGTAGGATTTTCGTGACGAAGAGACGTGAAGAAAAAAGTCTGGCAACTTGGTACCACGAAAATCCTATTTTACTTTTATTTTTACTAATCAAAAAAAGCATCTCGAACATTTGTAATACGCGTCCTTTTCGGTTTGCATCCATTATCTTTCGGTCGTACGGAGAACCTTGCTACGTCTTGTTACTATTTTCGCGTAAACTGAATGTCAAAGCCATTCGGTTCTATTAGTGCAAGTAGTATTAATTGACGATAAATTTAATTGGGCACAAACAGTGACATTGATCACTGTATCTCGAGCTATTGGGGCTACTGGACGAACTAGTAAATTGCTTTGAGCTAAAAAAAGACACATGCTTTAATCAAACTCTTTTAAATAAACTAAATCCATCACTTTTACTTTGAACCATTACTTTTTCACTATAAAAAATATATACATAATAATAGAACCTACGAAGCTGCCGAAGTGCACAGTGGTTATACTATTCGCCGATTATTCCCAAAAACTCTGTCAAGCCTAACGCGGTAACTGCAACTACGGGAATCGCAACTGCCCATTGACGAACATATTAGGTTTTACTAGAAACAGTATTTAAGTGGTCGTCCATTCAACCCGCATTAACATTTTGCAGCTTGGCGAATCGTCCATGTGGTCCCATCGACCATCTGAAACTACAGTCCCACTCGCCTCGACGACACAACACGGACAAGGCGAACAAGCTATCTGCCCTCTTAGATGTATGCCGCATTTCAGGAACAGGAAATACTGTTTAAGCATGGTTGTAGGCACGGTATAGCGGCGTTTTACGTGTGGCTTGGAAAAAAGACAGAAGTCAAGTTATTCTTTGTCATGGCTAAAATATTTCTTTCATAAGGATTATTGCTTTCGGAGAGGGGCGGAATTAAATTAGAGGAAAGTCGCGCAATTATTTTCACATCATTGCTAGCTTTTTTGTAGCGGTGTGCCAACGAATGATTCGTGTTCCAACGCTCCATTAATTATAACACCTGCCGTTGAGGTTCGGAACAAATAACGTTCCTGGTCTTTGTCGTGTCGGCTACCGTGAAATTGCAAAACTAGCAATGATGCTCTCCAGCTATACTCTGGAAACGAATAGACCCCATATGCCACTGCTGTATATTAGGCACGCGTAGATCTAATGAGATTGTATTCTTTTTGAAGGTTAGATACAGTAACTTTATCTGGTTTAAGTGGGAAAAACAAAATAAAAATAACTCTACTATATGAAACTGGCACCGTGCAACGTGAAGATGAAATCCTCAATCTTATTTGTCTGTTTAGTAGAATAATCGATATTTCATAACTGTCTAAATCAAAACAATAGGTGATCATCTTAGGACTAGAATTATTTAAATGTTTTTTTTTTTTACAGCCATTGCAAACACTCTGAGTTAAATGACACTAGTATAGTTCCCGCGGCCCATATTAATTATTTGTGTCTTAGAAGTTTCTACACACGACTGCATGAAGACATATTTGCTCTTGCGCCGTGATATTTTACAACAAGATTGATTTAACTTTTGCAGCTTGAATTTTAGAGGCCGCCATAACTGCGCGCCGCTGTCCCACTTTGGTCAGTACTAATGTTCCTTGAAGTTACGACCATAATAATGCTTAGCCAGCTAGAACGTTTCGCTATTTGACAGATGGCGTCCACCCATAACGTATTCCTGGTGTCACTCGTCCAAAGGTAAAATCATTGAGTCACGCACAATGCCCGAGAAGCAATCGTATATTTGCAAACAACGAATGTGATGACTAGTTTCCGATAGAAAATATGGCCATATGACACGACAGCACCGAGTGTATGCTCTAACGATGCTGAAAGCAAATCAATAATATGAAAACCATAGGGGTAACGGCTTGTACCTACCATATCGGTAAAGCGGCAGAGAGCTAAACAAGAATGGTAACAGCTTGACATACATGTATAAACCCAAAATACTGCAGGTATATTTTAAACTGTATTTAGATCAACAATGCTGTTTCTATCGAAAGGAAAATATGTATCTGAGTAAGTAGCTAATCTATTTCAGAAAAAAATTTAGTACGCAGATAGGGCTGTTCATCGTATCCTGACTCCACCATTGAATTCATGTGGACTTATGAGATTCAACCTACTTGATGGAACAGCTGAGAATAAAACCTATAATAGAATCATCGACAAAATATATGGTAGAAGGTACATATGCTCTGAATTATGCTGACATCGTTAACCATTACCTAGGTAGCAGCTGGGAGAAACAGTTATCGCCGTTCGACATGTATTATTAAACTTGTTACTAATAAATAAGTATGTGCAAAAGGTGTAACTGTTCAGATAGGTTATCTTTTTAGCACAGATCTTCATCCAGAGTTCTCGAAACCGAATGGCATCCTTTTTTCATTCCCCTACATAAAATGAGATGTTTCGATCTTGAAAGCGATCGGCGAAGGTTTGCCATGAGACGAGTCCAAGTAAGGTGCATGTTCCTACGACGCTTTCAGCCCGAAAGACTGCAAAAGAGATGGCAGCAGCACTTCGTTCCCATCACGGCCGACGGTGGTTAGAGCGTTACTGCTACCGCCGCGGCGTTGCTAAAGAGTACTATGGTGACGGCTATAGTACTGTGTGTACGTCTCAACACGCTCCGCAGCTTAATTTCTCCCTTCGCTAATCAGTATACAACTAATTATTATTGTAGCAAGAATCAAATAGTACTTCATTTAACACGCTAATTCAACTATATTTCGTATTTGTCAGCCCGCGATTATGATGATCATTGTCATCATCACTACTGTTGTTACTGGAGCCGGAGAGCTCGTGCAATGTAGTGGACGCTATTTACAGACTCGAAGTCGTTTGGCAGCCTTTTCGTGACCATTCTCTTGCATGATTTGTCCTGCTGACCAGACAGTATCTTTTTCGATATATCGAAGTCTCTGTAGAGGAAGCTTGTTGATGGTTCTAATCGAAAGCAGCCGTTCAGCAGTATCGTAACGACGGCCAGCAGCGTTGTCGCCATATTATGGAAACCAATACAACGGTTTCATGTACTCGATGGTTAAATCAAAAACACATTTTCTGTTTCGTTGGTTCCCCAAAGTTACCCTTAACCTAATGCTAATAAACATTAGGCTCACTAGATTACGCTGTCCTGTTTCGGCCTTTCTTCCTCTTAATTAACGTGCATTATATTCAATAGAATATCCGCATGACAAAAGGGGATCTATCTGTGTCGTACTACTGCCAATTATGACCAGCGCCCGTTATTTAAACAATAGGGCCGTAAACATTTTAGCACTGGTGGTAAAAATTTGCCCGAATTTGGGGCACTGCTCTAAAATGAAAAACACAAAGCTACTAGACTATATAATCGTTGCAGACGTTTTACTGCCAACTATACTGTTTACTATGTCGCAGTGCATGCAAGTGAATGTATATTTGGCCTTTTCATAGAATGGTAGGACGACAAACAGCAGGTTGACAACACAACACCCCTGCACCCCAACAGTAACTGGCAGTAGTAGAGCTCAGCAAGCAAAGCAGTCCACCTATCCATTATCTATTACCGCACCACACTGTCACCACAGTCCTAATTGAAGAAGCCAAAAAAAATTGTGCATTTCTTTCGTGTGTCATAAACGCCTTTCTACTCCTCCCTCCACCTGACGGTTGTCTCTACGTTTACCGTACTTAAGCACTGGTGCATCCTGGTAACACCAGCGCGGCTAACTGTAACATATCCGACTAGTGTCGCTTCCAATGACTGGCTTCGGCTGCCGACACCATTTCATCTATGCGACTACTGCAACGATATACTGAAGTAACGCGATGGTGGCGGCGGTGGTGGCGGCGGCGGCGGCGACGGTGACGGCGGCGGCGGTGGCGGCGGCGCCGCCACAACAAAGTTCAGCGAACCCACAAACGATCACAACGGCATCAGAAGCACAAACGGCATAGCGACTGTCGCAGTAATCCATACCACGCTAGAGCGAGGGAAACAGGCGCACACAGAAACGAAGCACACCGAAACGCACAGAAATCAACTTACGGAGACATCTGGAAGGTCAGGAGCACACAATCACACCCGCGAAAGAAAGACTGGCAGCACCGACCGCGAACGACGACCAACAGTAGATCGGAATATTAACAGCAACGATAACAACAAAAGAACAATAACACTGAGCAACAAGGATGACGCAGAGATGACCGATTTTTTCCCTATTACACAATCGCTGCCAGCAACTACAAATTCCTGCTACGACTATGAGTACTACAACGGAAGCAAACAGGTCATCATAATCGTCGAAGTGAGCGAGAAATCCAAGGCGACACTTTCGTGTGTTTTGGCAACACTAACATTATCAGCAGCAGCAGCAGCAGCTAAACCACGAAACATCAGGAATAGAACAGAGCACAGTTTATAACAGTAATGATAACAATATTAGTAATAATCATAATATTTATGGCAGGAATGCTACATCTAATGTGATAAATCCAGTAACTGATGTCAGTTAGTGGCAACAACACAAAGGCTACTTGCGTACGTCGATGTTTCAATGATTATATGTCGTTGGAGAGCAGCTCTATCAATTCGTAGAGTGTCTTTTCTCAACCCGACTGAGAGCATGGATACTTCTTTCTGCTGTCGCTTTCATTTATCGCCTATAGACCATTCTCACTTTGACCGCCGTCTCTGCATTAAGTTGAACTCAACTTAAAAAGATCGCATTTACAGGAGTTTACAGGCAAACGGGCGTGTAAATAAGCTCTGAAAATGCCATGCTAGGTCCGATTAGCCGTTTCGGTAGAACAGCACCACTGACGGAGATTTTTCCTGATTCGAATAGATTAAGCAATCAATTAAATAGGCAACCAACTAACTAGCCGGTTACCCAGACGATCAATCGATTCGTTTACGATATTCGTTCTTCGAAATATCTGCACAGATATTAACATTATTGGTGGTAGTGGAAGTAGTAAGTAGCCGTTGTCTTTCATCACCATCATTGGCGTGTCGTAGTCACGCATAAGATACACATATATACACATACACATACACACACACACACTCACACTCACTCACACACACACTCTAACCTATATACACGACAGGCTGTCTGTGCTGTTGAACGGGTGTTTGTCTAAGGCTCGGGGCAACCCCGCCGTATTCTAGGTCCGTTCAGGGGTAGGCGCCGAAACGTGTGTGCCGTGTTTCTCTATTTGCTGGCTGCAGCCGCCACTGGTGTTGCAATTGTGACAGTCGATATATATACACACATATATGCGTATATATCGCTGTTGGCTTCCCCACTTTTCGAGCCACTGATAGCTACTACACTTCTGTTACCACTGCAAATACTTGTCGATAACACTGATAATGTTATGATCGTCAGTGCTTATTTCTCTGTTGCCGCCGACCATCGCTAATAACAGTAGTATTAGTACAACAGCACCAACTGATTAGTCAACCGTCCGTCCGTTCCTCCGACGAACCAGCGGAGCTAACAAGCGATGGAGTGACCAATCAGGCAGCTACACTAGCGTAATTTTTCGGGCCGAACCTGGCAGCGTCATCGCTAAGCCGTCAGGGTACTCACATTGAGACGCTGTGCACTACGCGCGGTTAGAGAGCATCTCCGACGACGCTGGGGTGGCGTACGCGGCCAAAAAACTCACTGAAATATTACTTTAAATTCGAACTATCAAATCCGAGTTCACTCTCGGGGTACTTCTTCTTTTTCTTCGTCGATCCTGTCTCCTCTGGGCCTTCAGGCAAAGAGTGATTTCGTTTGATGGCGGACGTTTGCTGCAGTCTGGCTTTGTATCTACTAGATTAATAGCCTCCCGCAATGGCGATTTGTAACAAAGTCAACGTGAAACTTGTCGTGCATTTCGCAGCTATGCGGCAAAATCCTGAAAATAGGAACCATTTTGAATATTACCGCTTACGCCAGTATTGTTTGTATGTGGAGGGCAAAGTACTACGAATAGGAGCGGACCAATCTGTCATGGCGGCGCCGTTTGCATAGATCGGCTCACGGCACCATCCCTCACTTCTGCTCTGATCGCCCTCTGAGCAGTCTTGTGAAAGACTGACATGGAACCCTCCCCCGGACTAGATGTCTAAAGGAAAGGGCGTATATTTAAGGGCGCGAAATGTAGCCCAAATATTTGCATTAAAAAAATTATTTTACGTAGTTCAAATAAGCTAGATAATTTTTCGGAAGATATTTCTTTATTTGCATAGGCTGCGCATTAATCTGTTAGTGATAAAGTCACTAGGTTGAAGGATAGAATGACAAACTTAGGCAAGGGGTTAAAAATAGGGCTCAATAATAAGCCTAAACCATGTATCCAATAAAAATTACATAGGATGGTGTTATCCAATGTTGCATGTTTTCCTTTTCGAATAACATTTTAGATATTCGTAGAGTAAGTCTAACGTTGTTTTGTTAAGGGAAGAAGCCGATTTGTGTCTGGTTGTCAAGCTCAGTCGAAGCACACTTTTTATAAAAGCTTTAATTAAAGGCCTTTACTTCGTTTGCGTTAGGTGATTCTTGTAAAACAATAGTCCTGTTATAAAATCAATTTAGAATATCTACTACGTAATAGTTATTGATTTTCCACATTTTGAGCAACAGAAAATATAGCAAATATATCGGATGTATCGGACTAATGATAATGTTGCTTTTAAAATAGCTTACAAAATCAAACCAATGACAGATTATAATTACATAGATAGTATGATAAAAAAAAAGTGCTATATATGAATTGATGTAGTGTATTTTAGTCATTTCATTTATCAGCCGAGTGTAACTCCTAGACAAAAAAATCGTTAACAAAATAAATAGTAAGTGAGGTTTTAGTTCTTTTCGAAAACCACCGTTTGTGAAGGGCTCTTCAATGGACGCAACTTCGAAGGTAGATCTCGAAAATTTGGGCTGCACTTTAGTGCATTTTCTTCCATTACTAGAATTATTAATGAAATAAAATCTGGTCTATAT